ACGACTGGGGCAAAGGTATCATGATAGTCTATTCCATGACGTTGACTATACCCTTTTGCTACTAATCGTGCCTTCTTCTTTTCACTCTTATCGACATTCAGCTTCGTTGTCAATACATAACAACAACCTACTACATCACGTCCTGCCGGTTTCTTCACAATGTCCCATGTGTCATTTTTAACTAAACTCTTTATCTCGGATAATATAGCCTGTTCCCATCCGTAGCTTTCTGCACTGGTTAAGGCTTCCTTTAAGCTTACTTCTGCTACTCCAATAAAATCAAAACAGTCAGTAAATCTATCTTCTCCCTGTACAGCTTCCACGTCTTCTTGATGTTCTGACTGTACCTCATTCTTGATGTGAGCAACTCTCCATTGGTACGCTAACAGGTACATCTCCTGCGCCAACATTTTGAATGGGATTTTCAATGTGCTCTATCGGTTGGATATCTATATCCACTGCACTTGGCTTCAAAACTTGAGTCTCCAATCTCAGTATCTCTATCTGAAATGGATCAGTTCTCTGACTACTTTCTTTATTTTGGTTCGTAATCGGATTGCATTTATGAAATCTGACATCTCTTGCTACGATGACTTTCCTTTCATGTGGCAACCAAACTCTGTAACCTTTTGACTCTCTAGGGTAACCAACGAAGATTCCCTCAACACTTCTAGGCGCAAATTTATCCTTGCCTGGCTGTTTGTCCAGCACATGAACTTTGCTACCGAATGTCTGCAAATAGTTCAGTTTGACGGGTTTCTCGTACCATTTCTCGAAGGGTGTTTTACCTACTAGGCTCTGGGTGGGGCACCTATTTCTGATATGACATGCCGTAACAATCGCATCAGCCCAGAAACCTGAAGATAGTCCCGATGACAGGAGCATGCATCTTGCCATTTCTACGAGCGTCCAATTTTTCCTTTCAGCCGAACCATTCATCTGAGGTGTATAAGGAACTGTCAATCTTCTCTGTATACCTTCTTTCTTTAAGAATTCGTCAAATTCACGATTACAATACTCTCCCCCGTTGTCTGTCTGGAGATATTTAATCTTCTTGCCTGTCAAATTTTCTACGTATCTCTTGTAGATCTTAAAAACAGTAAAAACTTCACACCATCGCGTACAACAGTCAATAAATGTGACAAAGTACTTTGCACCACCTATCGCCGTATTTTGCATAGGTCCTACTACATCGGAATATACAACCTTAAGTTTCTCATCGCACGGTCCGCTAGATTTCGAAAAAGATAACGCACTCATCTTCCCTTTCGCACAAATATCACAGTCGTACAATTCGGTAACATCCGATAACTTTATATTGTTACCAGAACTTTTCAAAATTTTGAAAAGATCCTGCGCATTCAAATGACCTAATCGTTCATGCCAAGACCAAACTTCCGTATTCTTCATTAAAGAAACCAACGAAGTTTGTGCATGTTGCTCCTTAATGTAATATAAATTACCTCTGCGTTCCGCAGTCACCCTTATTTTACCATCGCTATCAGTAACTAGAGCTATGTTACTTTTAAACGTAACATCATAACCTTTATCTGCGATTTTTGCTACTGAAATTAGGTTACTGCGCAGATCGGGAACAAGTAATGTGTCTGGCAAATTAATAACAGTTTCGCTAGAGTCATTGTTACATGCCAATAATCTTACCGTACCCTTACCTTGTACATCTGTGCTCGAATTAGTAGCCATATTTAATTTACCAGTGGTAGGTCGCAATTTGTCAGTAAATTTAGTAAAATCGTTACATAAATGTGATGTACACCCGCTGTCGATAATCCAATTTCCATTCTCGTTACAAACAGTATTACAGTTGTCTGAAACACAATTGAATGTTAAAAAATCGTAATCAACTACATCTACATCATCATTATTAAATACACATTTCACAGTTTCATGACAATTTTTCTTCGCCTTAGGACATTCCGAAGCTCTATGTCCAAACTGGTGACATTTAAAGCATTTAAATTTAAATTGTGGCTCGTGCTCAGTAACTTTGGTGCTCTGTTTTGTCGGTTTTCTCTTCACTAGCAGTGCTTCCGACTTTGATTGGTGTCTAGAATTACATTCTTCTAGTATTTTAATTTTTAGTATCTCTGGATCTGGTAATTCGTCTCTGGATTCGATCGCACATCGAAAGTTCTCAAAACTTGCAGGCAGACTGTACAGCAACATGATCGAAAGCAAGTCATTATGAATATCTACTTCCATCTCATTCAGCTTGTCTTTAGCCTCAAAGAACTTACTAAGATGTTCTGCAACATCACCACCATCATCCAATTTTTGTAGAGTTAATTGCTTTAATAAAGTGGCCTTTCGCGCAGGTCCTTTAGATGCAAAAATGGAATTAAGTTTCAACCATACCTCTCTTGACGTTTGACAGCCTCTGACGTGCCTTAACTCACTAGGGCTTATGGATAAAATCAGATCTGCTTTCGCCTTCGCATCAGCTGCTTCCCAGTCTTCAGCGGGGCCTGTGGGCTTTGGTTTCTTTCCATTTACGTAATCCCATGCATCATTCTTTATGAGTAAAGCTTCAACCTGAAGACGCCAACTTTCGTAGTTTTCTTTATTTAGATATTCAATACGTACGGAACTCATTTTATTTAGCTCTCATGCCCTCGGTGCTCTTTTTGACTCTTCGCACTACGTATTCTTAATTACTAAATATCGAAAAAAAAAAATTACTACTTCACGCAATTTAACTTTAATTGATATAATAATATAACTTTTCTTCACTTCATTACTAGTTATTTCGGGGTTTAGAATGCATTTAAGCGGCCCATAACCATTGTTAGGAAATAAAAAGCAACAGACACGGAAGATGTGACATTGAGATATATTATTTTTTTTAACAAACATGACATCGAATACTCGTACATATCATAAACCAGCTAGGTACAGATTATTATAAACATATAAAGAGGTTCAATGTTTAACACTTCCCGCCCGTCTGCGCCGGAGCGGGGGTGCGTCAGGCGCGTCCTCGCGCTCCCGCTCCGCCGCCTCCTTTTGCGTCATCACTTCCACGCAAAAGGAGGTCCGCGTCCCAGGACCTCTCGTCCCGCAGCATGGCCGCGACTACGCTGGGCAGCGAGAGGTCCCTCCCTATTGTCGCCACCAGAGTGCGGCGCCGCTCGATCCACCGGCAACACACCTCGAGGGTGTGCTGCGCGGTGTCATCCACGGCGCCGCACTCGTGACACGACGGGGACGCCTCCCTCCTCGCCACCTTGTGCAGGTAGTGACCGAAGCAGCCGTGCCCGGTCAGGATCTGCACAAGGTGGTACGACAGTGGCCCGTGGGACCGGTGTACCCACTCAGTGATGGGCAACCCTGCCATTTCACGCACACATTTGCGCGTGTGCAGATAGCGCTTTGTTGTATGTAGTAGTAATAGGTAACTAACTTTCGACTGTTGTATGGAGTGTGCAGCGTGTGCGCGTGGCATGACATTGCTTGTCCCAACAAGCGTTTCAATAATATGCGAATTTGTGTGTCCTTACACGGCACGCAGCGGTCGCGCACTCTTACAGGCCGCGTTGTTACTTTGTAAGGAGTTACTATACTTCTCTTATTTTACTATGGTTACACTTTCTAACAGTTTGTATACGTTATCGTTCAATCATGTATAAGACAAACTTTTAGAGTATTCTCTTGTAGTAGGTAATCGCAAACCGTGATTCTTCTACTTTCAAGAACGTCGTAGCTACAATTGCTTTACGATGCTAACGCTTCGGCGACGTTGCGAGTTTCAATAGTAACGATGTAATGTATTTTTTTAATCGTTGTTTGTCGGTTGCGTGTATTTAATTACTCTGACTACTTTGAGTGATTTACGTTATTTACGTGTAAGGTGAGAATATATTGTTAGAGTAAACCAAGTAGATAATTTTTTAATACCGCATTTTCTTGAACTTGTGGCTGTAATTGTGGCGTACTTTGAACTAACCACTGGTCTAGTTTTTGTTACGGTTGTTATACACTAATTGCTATAATCAAGAAAAACAACATAAATGTATAGAAAACACTTGTGGTTGCGCAACCACAGTGGTCTTCTGTGGTTTCTGCGGTTTCTGCGCCAGTGTGCAGCGGTATAATATCGTAGATATCTTTCGTTGTTGTGTCGTAATGGGTTGCGGGTTGATGTAAAATACTCGTATACCCATTATATAATATTTACCGGAAATAAACTTTAAACTTTTTGTTGTACTATATATTCTGACACTTTTTAGATCTATATTTGGTGGTAAGGTAGTAACTTCAAACGTGCAAGCGTTTTCTTCCCGATGATGGCCCCCACCCTCGCTCTTGTGTTTTGCATCAGACTTTACGCTATTGCTTTCTTTTGTTACCGCACAGAGTTATCACGGCTTAGAGCGATCAATTTAAATATTTTTACCGACGCGTTATTGAAAAAGTTGATTACTGACTATAGAGATATCGAGTACTTAGTTACACAAGTACTTAGTTTATTCGCTAAAACGATGACTATAGTTATTCTTATTTTAGAGCGGTAACGCCTTATGGAGTTGTAAGTGTCAGTTTTCGGCGAGGAAGAAGAAGTATGACAGGTCGCGGGTGGTGTAAACACTTACAAACTCATTAGCAATAAATTTAACTAATTTCAACGTTATTATTGACCGGTTAACGAATGGATAACGAAAAGCGTATAGGCCAATTATCAAATAATTCCTGACACAATTAGTGACGAGAGAGTTTGCCATAACGTCTCCCTGTACGGTTATACTCCGATATATTTATTTTTGTACGAAAGTAAAATCTGATGAATGATTAAAAGTCATAGAACTAAAGTTGTCGTATATGATGATTTAAGTATTTTACAAACAACATGTATAATCGCGTAGGTGATCGCAGCCAAGAATGTTCCCGATTGTTACACGTCTTTAAAATTTAGTTGTTTTTGCACGGTGTAAGTTACTGAACGCAATAACGGCTAGGTTTTGAGATGTTTGACGTAATTTCAGGTTACCAGTACGCCTTAATGTCTATGAAAACAGCATTATCTGCAGTTCTGCGGAGGTACCGAGTAGTGGTTACAGAGGACGCCCTTCACAATCCTTATATCAAAGTGAAACTGGACGTAATGATGAAGGCCGTTGATGAATACCAAGTCGCCTTAGAGAGAAGAGCGCCAAAGACTTTAAAAAGCAATGAGCACGTGGCTTAGAAGCCACGTTACCTTAGCATCATTGAAATTTTTTTATCACAGACCATAGTATACCAGCGGTCCATCAATATCGTAGGACAGGTGTTCTAAATTATTAGACGTCAAAACTGTATGATTTGGTAAAAAAAATTGTAATCAGTGGAGTAGGTTCGTTATTATATTTTAATCGAGTATTTCTAACAATTTACAGTTACCTAGGGAATTACACAACAGGAATTTGTAAAAATCCAGTTTTCTGCAAGTTTTTGGGACGAAAGGTTTATGATAATTGAGGCACAGGCGGGTGGGTACATAAAAACTGACATTTTTTCAGAACTGATGTTTTACATTTACAAATAATGTTTGTGCTCTATAGAACGCAAATGAAATTTTAAATGGAATGGTAAATGACTAATGTAAGAACTGTGCTGGTGATTGTGATTTAATATGTAAGTAGATTTAGAATTATACGCTTTATTAATAAAGATATTTAGATGTAAAAAGGATTGTTTATATAAATTTCCTTTCTTCTCCGCCGCCGTTCCTGTCGACGAAATCCTATGCATATTGTAGGCAGGCAGGGTGGAGGTGGCTAGTGCAGTGAGGGTTCCATCGCTGCACTAGGTTCCTTCGCGTTTGGATACCACTTTCCACTTAACATCCGGTGGAGTGGAGTCATTTGCCTGTCACGTATAAAAAAAAAATACTAGATTTAAATCATAATAAGAGCGTTTATTTATATGTGATTGTTTTTTTTACAAACATCCGTTAAGTAATTGCATTTTTATTGAATGTCAGAATTTTTGTGACATTTGTCGGGATCATACCTTGTATGTCTATGAGGGTGTGTTTAATACAATCCCGAATGGATAAGAGTATTAAAGTCATACCTGAAATCTAGAAATATTCTCGGGTCCAAATTATTCTTGCCCCTTTATCTGCTTCGCTCCACACAGTGCAGTGACAATCTGCGTTAAATGACAACTAGTGGCGTCCGTCTGTAAGTATAAATCGATTATGACTCTACATGCATATAGAGTCCCTAATAACCTGAGAATCACTAGCCTTAACCAGCAGAATCCTCTTCTGGTGTAGTCTCACATAAATTTCAGTCTATCTATTAAGACCTACTACTGGCTGGAGTCACGGGACCCGCTGGCCTTCAACAACGGTTTTTCCTTGGTCGATGGACCCTTTGTTCTATCGTAAGGTACATCCTCAACTCATTATTTATATTCGTCATAGCACCCTCGATCAATGTTAGGGTCTATACTTAGCTCATTTTTAGCCTACATCATAGCATCCCCAATCAATGTAAGGGTTTATACTTATCTCATCGTTAGCTTACACCATAGCACCCCCAATCAATGTTAGGGTCTATACTTATCTCATTGTTACCTTACATTATAGCACCTCCGATCAATGTTAGGGTCTATACTTATATCATTATTAACTCACATCATAGCACCCCCGATCAATGTTAGGGTCTATACTTCTCTCATTGTTACCTTACATTATAGCAACCCCGATCAATGTTAGGGTCTATACTTATATCATTATTAACTCACATCATAGCACCCCCGATCAATGTTAGGGTCTATACTTCTCTCATTGTTACCTTACATTATAGCACCCCCGATCAATGTTAGGGTCTATACTTATATCATTATTAACTCACTTCATAGCACCCCCGATCAATGTTAGGGTCTGTACTTATATCATTATTAACTCACATCATAGCAACCCCGATCAATGTTAGGGTACCTTCCTACCTCTTACTAAGTTGGCAGCCACTTTACTTTAATCCTTGTACAGGCCGACCTCTATTAGCTAACATTAGATAATAGCCGAGATATTATATAGTATTATAGGGCCTACCGGCGCCTCGGGCATGGATTACAAATGATATTATGTTGCAAGTATATTGAACTATGGATTGATAATTTGTCAACATTAATCTAGAATACTTAGGCAATAATCTAGGGTACTTAGCTTTCCTTGTCTCCTTCTAGAATAGATGAACTCAACACTTCTCGAGGAAGTTTATTAACCTCCTCCAACTTTCTCTGACACACAGAATTAGCGGGTTGTATCGACTTACCATCGACAATCCAATAAGCTTCTTCATCCAGTGTTGCCATATATATTTACATATTTACATCTAGATATCGCGAACGTCGCGACAACATTACTCCCCAAGCAGCACACCCATATCTAAATATATACTATAAGACATCTAATAGAATTTAATTCGATTGAATATTTTAAGAGTTCAAATTCACTCAAGATATCTCAAAGAAGGTTTCTAGATAATTTAAAGTAAAAGTGGGCACAACTTTATTAGTAGATCACAAGAGTGCATTGAGATCTATCTATAGGTAGTGTTAAGAGTCATTCTTATCTGAAGTAACCCTTCTAGAATGTTACAAGACCATTTGTAGAATGTAGACAGTTTTTATTTAGTCTTGTAGACAGTTTTTAGATAATTTATAGTCTGTGATAGTTTTCTTAGTAATGCTATTTTAAAACCAAAATACTAAAGCGTTAGAAACATAGGACGCAATTCTCTTAATACTAATACACTTCATGTTTAATGGCTTACAAAATATAAACTATATAAATTGCAACATGGCGAAATTAGATATAATATTTCTGACTTTTTCGCGCAATGTTTAATCGGTTGGAAAGCGCAAATTGACGTGCGACTTTAAATACGTTGTGAAAAGTGATGTAAAACCTGTCATAAAAGTAATGCGCTCGCTAAATTTTAAATATTTAAGTATAAAACATAAACTTAATAAAAATACAGTTATCGATTTTCGGTTTTAAATATTTATAGAAAGCTTAAATATACAAAATAACTCACAAAACAAACCATTTCCAAGAAGTTCTAGGCTTTTTCAACTTAGATTTACTTTTTAAAAAGAAAAGAAATTTTTCTCTTCTACTTCATAGTAATTCTTTAAAAATAAAAATGGCGATAAGAATTTAAAGCTTTTTTCAAAACACAGTTGCGAGCATTTTGTCTATAGCTTTATCTATAGAAAAACTTTAGAATACAAAAAGATTATTTTTACTTGCTTTAGTTTACTTGACCTTGTAGAAGAACTTACACTCCTATGAAGTTTTTATGATTGTCTACAAAACGCGATGTTTCTAAGCGATTTTTTCTTTTGACAGTATTACAAAACCTTTATAAATATTAAGCGCATTATGCAATAAAAAACTTTTCAAAACACTAGGTCAAAAAAACAATTGAAAAAATCCAATTTGTCGCAAAAAAACGTTATTCTGTATAATTATATGGAATGTGTTATATATGACTAGAAAGGTGGATAAATTCCCTATCATATAAATATAAGGAATATTTTAATGACATACCTAACTTATGTTGGAAGAAATAAGATTTTCATTATAAATTTCAGGTTATTTCTTTACGCCAACCACATTTCACACAATGATTTCACTGTATTCTATTGATAGACGGCACAATACACATTCACAACATTGAAGTACAGTAGTTTACGCGCTCATTTCAATTGTTTTTATCATTTCACAACACACAATGTTTATTTATTTGTCAACAAACAAATGCCGGTCAAGACCGGCCCGAGCGCGAATTACGACTATTGTATCCAGCGTTGCCAATTTGTAGGGAATTCCCATCAACCGTCCCAAGTCTACCTATTTAAATGTAGTGACATGTAAAGGAATATGAAAAAGCTAAAACTTTGAATTTAAATTGTAATGTCATCGTAGTACTGTCTAATTTTGCTTGCAACAATTGAAAGGCGTAAAAAAATTCAGCTTTTACTGGAAACTTATCAAAATGCACCATATGTAGCTTCTAGTGAAAAGTACTTGAACACAGGTATAATGGAGTAGCCTTTATTATTTTTAAATAACGTAAACGTAAAATTTTATATGTAAATGTTGAATTTTATACAATGCCATTCATTACGAGCTAGGGGTGTCTGATTTTTTTCTTCAGTTTTGAGAATTCTCGTACCCGATTTCTCGAGTCATTCGAGAATTTTTTTAAAAACCGTAAAAAATCAGCTCAATCAACTATAAAACTAAATGTGAACTTTTCGAAAGTTGTTTTGGCCTGGGTGTTCTGAGTTGTGCCCCGAAATAAATTCCATCGTTCTTGGTCCCAGTTTCGATTCCCGGTAGAACCAATTTGGGAAACTTTTGTAAATTGGTTCTACTCTGGGATTCTGTTGTTCTGATACTCATGGGGAGTATGTACAGAGAGTTCCCTAGTTTCAGACCAGGTGATTGTCTTACAATAGAATACTAACACCAGAACCATTTAGAAAAGTTAATTTGTTAAATTGATCCTACCGGTATCGAACCCGGGAACTTCTCATCCAGTACCCACAGTGCAAACCGTTAGGCTATCAAGGCTGTACTATTTGTATTATTATGCATTGTTTGCATGTGAAAGCTACAAATTGCTTAAACTTTTTTTAAAAATCCTATTTAATTTGCAGTGTTAGTCTGCTTCAATTACCTTCTTTGTTTCTTAAGTTGGTATATTTTGTCATTCATCCAACTTTTGATTATTAATGCACTTTGGCGGTGTAAGATATTCTCTGTTAATACTTGTTACTTTCGCCTTAAGTTCAAGCTATGTTTACTGGATAAATTCCTATATTCTCTCCTTTCTATGCAGAGTTCACTCATTGATGTAATCACATACCAAAGCTTTAATATAAATTTTATAAAATTTGATATAATGCCTAGGCACCAAAAACCAGTTCTTACTAGCAATGTTGACAAAGCTGTTTTTTTTTTTAATTTTCGTAAGCCTTTGCTGGTTATGTACATATCCGATTGTTTGAAATGAGCCACGCAAACAAATTTGTATATTTTCAGGATAAAATGTTCTTCTCGTCGCTTTTCAGCTATTATATTTCTCCATAGTGAGCAAAGTATAGGTAAATATATCTCGAGGAAAACTGAAACAAATACATTTATTATGCCATGCCATAAGAAATGTACCGATGTTTCGATTTTTTTAAATTCAAATTCAACGTAAAGCCAAACTTTCATAATCCTGAAAACCGATTTATAATAAAACCGTTATGCTTTAGGGAGTTTTGGATGCTTATTACAAAGAAAAGATTAAGTTAGCTTAGGTTTGTTTTGTAATATTCTAAAAAAAAACCTTAAAAAATACTTTCGGGATTATGGAAATTCATGCAAACGTTAGTTCGGGCAAATGTATTTTCGGTCTTCTGATTCGTAACCCCAAGCCGTAGAAAGAGTACAACAATATTTGAAAGTGTTACTAACATGTATTAAAAAATATTTTAATAATAACATTAGCATCAAAGCGACTCTAAATTTTTGTTCTAAATATTTCAAACGATTGTGTTTGAAACAATTGAAATTGACGTGTTGGGTCTCGTTCAGTCTTTTACGCAAGCTATGAGTCGGAAAGAGACTGTTAGCTATTTGATTATTTTGATTGCTTTTGTAATTTATATTTACGATTAATTTAAATATAAATTAAATACTATATATACTAGTGCATAAAATAACACTTTTAAATGATAACTATGATAACACAATGTAGTACTTACTGAAAATATTTTTACTGCCTCTGTGGCCGAACGGTTACCATGCCGGACTGCCATGCAGAGGTCCCAGGTTCAATTCCCGGGTCGGGAGAAATATTTGTATGGCCTACATTTATTTCTCTCGTGAGTTTGGATGTAATTTGTGGTTGTCTACGTGTGTGTCCATGGCACCCGCGACACAAGGTTTCCCTAGTGCGAGGCTATGTTGAGTGTGTACGTTATTATTATTATAGTGATTTTTGGGGATTTTGAACAATTGGCATTGGCAACGCTGATTGTATCGAATGATGTGACTTAATATCCAAGGTTTACCACCTCCACCAGATCTTTTAGTATTCTTTACTTTATCCATTTTGCATAAACTCTTACAACGGTCCAATAGAGTAAAAACCCTAATTGTAGTATGTTTTTAAATAAAATCTACTGAAGACGCGCTATAACGTGTTTGTCAACAAGTACAAACACTACAGAATGTGTATAAATTAAATATATATAGAATAAACTTAAGAACACTAGTTTTTAGAGTATTAATAGGCTTTACTGGATGTGTATAGAACAATTTTACTAAAAATAATCAGTTGTTCTACAGATGAATTTAAAATAATGACTATAAGAGTAAATCTTAAGAGAGATTACACTTAATTAAGTTGTTTGGTATTGAGAAGGTTTTAAAATTTGGACTTGAGTGAAATAAGTCTATAAGAACAACTTCTTTTTTCTAAAACCATTTATAGAGAACTATTATCTAAATGTATACCATATTAAGACTGTTTATACATATAACAGTTTTAAGGAGTTTAAAGTGTGCTCCTTGGGTTCACTAGTTTGTTATAATTATTAATACAAAGATCAATCGAAAGAACGAACACTTAGAAAAAAATCCTTCGATCCCGCCGGATTTGAATCGGCGTCTCCTAGCAAACCGTACCTGACGCTATGCCCAGTAAGCCATGGAACGAACCAGCAGACCTCACGAATTCTTCTATGTGCCTGTTGTCGGATCTTTGTATTTGGTTTTCAACGACTTTTTAGCCGTGGCGCCTTCTATGAGAAATGTATGAAAGTATTTCGTCACCCAGTTAAGTACCTTTACAGCTACCAGCCCTGGCTAGAGATGTCGCTATTAGCTGTAATTAAATATTTATTGTATGTCGGAATGTTTTCACCACCATGATGGGTATCAATATTTTTTTGTGAAATTACTCCACTAGTTTGTTGTCATTATTAATACAAAGATCAAATACTTAAAAAAAATCTTTGATACGGCCGGATGCGAACCGACGTCTCCTAGCAAACCATGCCAGACGCTGTGCCAACTAAGCTAATCCGTCACGTAGATTATTTTAGTAACAATACCTACATACCTGCTAAAGTACAAATTGAACTGTAAAAAACATTGAAAATTAATACAAATGTTGATTTATTATGAAAAATTTTTGTGTTTTTTAAAAACCAGAATATTTCAGGTATATGACACGCTTCTTTCACGCCAACCATGGATCGGCACACAATTAACATGGTACATTTTGGTAGGTACACATTACTCGTGTTAGCACTAAATAAAGACATACACATTTAAAAAAGATGGCTGTACAGTATCAACCTTATGGAGATGGCTGCACACCATGGCTGCACAGTATCAACCTTATGGATTTAATTAAAATGATCAAAGGTCAGTAACAACGTACGCAACTATAACTGTACTTCAGAGAATGTTTGTTAAACCTTAATCGTAATCACGTAAGTTTGCCGTTATAATGAAAGTATCGCTTTCAAATTTGGCGCTATACATAAATATATTCTGTATGATCATAGAATATACTACTAGACCAGTATGTTTTTCATAAAAACTGAAGGCTAATTTGCTTGAGTCTGAAGCGTGTAAGTTACATACATACATTTTAATGGTAATATGGTCTAGTATGGTATACATTGGGCGTTTAGTGTTTTTTCCATTGTAGTTTGTTGGGACTTAAGAGGTTAAGTCAGAGGTTAATTTAATTTGTTTTTCTTTTGTTCATATTCATTACAATTAAATATATTGAGTAATCCCATTAGCACGCTTAATCTTACTAAGGAACACTATAAAAGTATGAAAGGGTGTACGAATTATTATTGATACTCATTTATTTATATATTTGTTTACTAATTTCATTTCAGTTGCCTTCAAGTTAGGTAACTTTGAATTTCCTTGTATCTTGGAATAAAACTAGTTTGAAGATTCTTTTTCTTTATGGTAGGTCTGCGTGTAGTAAATGCAAACGCGATGTAGTTGCGATACAGTCGCCAATCGTCTACCTTTACACACGCGCGTAATTTTGAGCAGCGATTAGAATGTTTACACTCGGCGAATTGAAAATAATAAAATAAATCTAAATCTAAATCTATTTATACAACTCATGATTCAATTGCCAGCCTCCAGCATTGTACATTTTGAAATTGTAATACTTTGGCTTTATACTGTCAATGATTTTGGTCCTATACCGATTCGAGTATACATAACTGCTGTTATAGTTTTTATTTCACTTAATGCTTTAGTTCCCAAACTTTTACTCACCGCCATTGACATACCAACAAATGGACGTCGGGTCTAATACAAAAACCACGAAAAAAATGTCCGAAGTTAACCTATAGATACAAACGTAGTGACATGTAACGAAATATAAAAAACTAAAACATTTAATTTAAATTGTAACGTCATTGCAGTACTGCCTAATTTTGCTTGCAACAATTTAAGGACACAAAAACACCATATTCAGCTTCTACTGGAAACTTAACAAAATGCACCATATTTCTTCTAGCTTCGACTAAAAATTACTTGAACACAAGAGTGTTGGTAGGTACTGCATGATTGACAACCGCGCTGTCAGTCGAACAAACGAAGACTGTTGCGCGATTGACGCTCTGTATGCGATTTTAACGCCCTACAGGTGCGGACACATTTTAGCGCGCACCCGACGTACATTTATTGGTAGGTCAATGCTCACCGCCCACTTAGGCAAGATACAAAAATTTCAACGCCCACCACCACCAAAAATAATTGAAAACACGTTTTTTTATATTAACTTAACACAAAAAAACATGGAAAAAATCACATATATGTAGTGTACTTTATGTAGATAATCCAGGTTTTTTTTCAACTGCGCACAGTGTGTTATTTTACTTTAGTTGCGGACATTCTCGTTTTATGTTCGACTTCTATAGGTTGAATCCTAATAAATTATAGTAAGAAACACCCGTTTAGATATTTGCTTTTATTATGGAGATATAATTTTTTTTCGAAAGGTCACTGAACTTCAAGAAAAATGTTTTTGAATGTATTTTCCGAAATATGTGAAACTTTCCTTTGTCAAAAATACAAATTGACTGTCTATTTAAACTTTATTAAATATGAAAATTGTAAGTCCTTAAGCGCACAAAAAAGTGAGAAAAAAATATTTTGGTAATTTAAAAAATATATTTATATAAAATACGTATATATGATATATTTTTTATTTATATAAATAAATAAAAAATATATTTATATAAATATATATATAATACTAAATTAGCATTTTTTTATCTTCAAAATATACTACATTAATGTATCTATCGAATAAAGAAAAAGTAAACGTTTATCTCGGAGGATCTCGGAGGTACCGCTTTTCTAAGGTTTTTAAATTTCTATGGAAATAAAGTTGTCACAAAATGTATAAATTTTTACCCGACTACGTGAATCAATGGAGGATTATGTCTTAAAACAACAACAATAATAATATATTTATCTCGAATATGAAAAGAATCGTACGTGGTAGTAGATACAAAGATGTGAACTTATTTTAGTGTTAGTAAATATAAAATTTTATTCATACATGTGGGAGCTTTGGTGGCCCACAACAATTCAAATTCCTTTATGAGATAACATAGTCCAAAATTATGGTACATTAATTGAATTTTCACATGTTTAAGTTACGTTAGTTAAATTTAAAATCAAGTGAAATAAATTAAATTGAAGTAATTATGTCCAAAATAATTTAAAACAATGTACGTTACATAGTATTGGCATGGTTCGTTATAATATTCATTACGTATGTGCATTACGTTGTGTGAATAAAGATAAATTATCCTGGGAAATGCAGAAAGCTCATTTATTTTCCTCATTATCGTATTGTAGAATGATTTCGTCTGTTGCTAGCGTGATGTCAGCAGCTGCAATACTAATGACTACTGATGGGTGATGATGGTAACGAATATTTCCCGTGGTCACTCTTAGAAGGCGAAGAACTTTATCAGGTATAGGTAGAGATTTTTTATGTTTCTGACGTGTACTAGGTGTCAAAGAGGAAAAATAAGGATCAGACGATTCCAGTGCACGGTGCAACGAGTCTGTGGTTTTCCGATCCAACTTTCGTTTATGGTGAGTCACGTCAAAACTTGTTCCTTGATTCACCGGCTTGTTCCAGTAATATACCGATGGGTAATGTGGTACATTCAATGAAAATAAAATATTGCACTTTGCACACTGGATAAATAATCGGTAACAATACTAACCCAAAATTTAAAAATTTTATATTTCTGGTCTCTTGTGTTTGTCGCATCTGGATTTTTTTTATGGTAGTACTTATTACTGTAATTAACAAATTAGCGTTGAAAAAACATGCTAATATGTGCAGTCTTCAGAAAAAATGGATTAAAGCATAAAAAAAGTATGGTCTGGTATAGCTTGATATTTTTTTATTTTTTGGACTTATTGGCGCTTTTAGTAGTTTTCTATCATAAAATGAAATATTTAATGAAAACACACATTTTACATTTCTCTAAAACTATGATAGATATAGCCAGGAGGGTTTAATTAAGAGCTTTGTTTGAGTAGTAATCTTTGTGAGAGACCAACAGATCTAAAACTACAAAACGGGCCACTAAAGCTAAATCAACACTGATACTATTGATAGACTCAATTGAAGGTGTATATAATATACAAGACGTGCAACTACAACACAGGTATATAAGAATGTAGCAAAAATACTTGAAGACACGTAAAATAGGTTTTTTGAAAGAAGTAATAAATACTAACGTGAAGAACAGTTCATCTGTGACAATGTAAACAAAATAATGTTCGCAGCACATGAGTTAAGAAACATAAAGTTCAAAGTGGATGATGAGTGGCTGATCACTTTGGTGCTTACCGGAAATGTACTAATAAGCCATTTATTATGGACTCGGAGTGAAAACATCAGACACCACCCTCTTTACACAAACTGCGTGCGTGCGTGGGTGTGTGTGATTACATACATACACATATATACCTACCTACACATATCACAATAGTTTGAAGATGCCTCGGATCTATTATTTGTAATATTGACGAGTACATCAAGTCTTTTAGTGGCAATCAGAGGAACCACACGCTCGTCAGGATCAGAAGCAGAAGATTGAATCGTAGCTGATGGTGGCAGTCTCAAAAATTCTAAATGTTTGTCATGAATGCAAATACTTCCGGAGTCTCACTCAAAACAACAGGCTTTAAGTAATGTTAGATTTGGTATCCCCTTTTTCCACAATACTTGATGTACAGCAAGAGTTTCTGTCAAAATTAGAAAGTCATGAAAAATCCTATATTCTTTCTCGGTTATATTCTCTTCAGGACTATCAATGATGATCACATTTTTAGATTTTTTTTGAACTACTTGCAGAAATTTCTCGTAAGTACTGACATCACCCCATAAGAATCTACCGTTTTTTTTATTGTTCCTCTCACACCATCCGGGGCACCCTTACCATTATAACAGTACTCAAAGAACTCCGATAAACTTGCAATCAGAGCATTAATTAAGTCTCGTGTTGTAATGGAAATCTGTTCTTTTTTTGAAACCGGTATAGATTTTTTGTCTTTTTTCACTTGCACCCATTGATAATAAACTATACTTTTTTCATTAGAGAACTCTTTTATATGTATAAATCTACAATTACATGTTTGGCACTCTCGTTCCAGGCATTTTTCTTCGTAAATTGAGCAACACAAATTTTTCATTAATTCTTCTGAATTTCCTTCATTAATTATTCACGCTGTTTTCAGGGCTTCGTTTTAATTTCTTCTTCTTTCTTTGCCTTATATTTTCGCGGTACTTTTTACGCTGTTCTCTATGATCACGAGGGGATTTGTCTAGCTCGCCTTTGACCTCATGTTTCTGTTTTCGTGCATGATATCGTTATACTTCTTTTTGCTTTTGTAGCTCGTATACTTCTGGATCTTGTTTAATTTCAGCATTTTTTTATCTAGCTACTTTTAGGTTTTCTAAACGTTCTTTGTTTGATTTTTTTTTCGGTTCATGATTAAAGCAGTGTATATATAGATAGTGTAGATAGATATATAAACACTTTATTCACTGATATAACACAAATACAGATTAAGCATAAAAGAAAAAACAAAACATGATTGTCATAGCAGTGAAACGGCGCTGACTCAGCAAATGCCAAAGTTTCCTAAGGCTCTGGTTTTCAGTCAGAACCAACGAGAGGGATTAAATTATTTGAAAGCAAAAATATAACGACTATGAGTAAAGTTATACATTACATAATAATACAATACAATAATACAATAACATACAATAATAATATACATAGTAAAGTGTAAATAGTGCATCTAAAATAACCTGTTTGACATGTAAGTGCATGAGCAAATGTGAATATAAT